ACGACACTCCTGGATTTTTGAGGGGTTTTTTTTTACGGGTTGAAAAAAATTTGAGTCCACACATGTGTCGGGTCAATAAATATTCACGTCCAGATGACAACGGAGCACTGAGTAAAAATGATGTAATACATATGCCACACCTGTATGTGGTGCTGTTAACAATGATAATAATATTTAAGGTAATTTAGCCGATTTTAGATGTATCCCAGAAATGTAGCCGTTTTGTTTTGCAAAAGTTAAACATAAGTTTTTGTTTTTAGCCATAAGATTTGGACGAGAATTATTAGAATAACTTGGTCTCAAAATCCAACAGTTTAATTACCTGTGCCTAACCTTTGCTATTGATCCCTGTGCGTAATCTGCCTTCGCTGTATCGGAGGACCCTGGCGATGATGGGGGTCGCAACGTCATTGTTTTCCAAAAGCTGTGGTTTGCTTGTCCACACAACAATGCAAAGCCAGCTTACTCAGAATTCTCCACTCTAGAACCTGTTCTCAAAAAATACAATTTTTGCCCACAGAAAACACCAGCTCCATGTGGATGAAAGGCCAAAGTGAATACAAACTTGACAGTTTTGTCCAAAAAACGTTGTCTTGTGGACAGGCCCATAGCGTTTGTCTCCCGTCGAACAAAGCTCACGATGCTAGCTGTTATAGGAGCAAATTTGGAGCTGAGTTCCATATTAGGAGAAGGAATTTTAGTCCAATGAGGTTCACTTGGTCTTCAGATAATTTATGTTAATATAATATAATAACATAAATTATCAGAAGACCAAATGAACCTCATTGGATTATTATGCTCAAGTCATGGACAGCAATGTGTCAAGGTAATAACATAATATAACATGGAAAAGGAATGTATTTAAGGACAAAATCGTGAAATAAAAACACCAGGATCATGTAGAGCGGGTTAATAAGAACATTTTAAAACTAAAATTACAAGGCTCAGTAACAGTTACAGATTTTAACATGAAGTAAATCTAACCCAGAGTCGATGGAGCCGGAAGCACCGTCATTTTCACTTTCTATTTGGAACTTGGTGACTAGCGGGTTAGATATGTCCTTTATATATATATACAGCTTATGCCCTCTCATCACACTCATACTTCTAACTTGCTGAATGTTTGTTCTAATTCATGAAGCACTTGAGAAATGTCTATAATTGTCTGTCTGGCTGCGCACTTTCAAAGGCTTATAACATCTTTATTTTCACAACAATGTCGCTCTATCTAAAGCAATAACACTGTCCCTCCTCTGTTCCTATAGGAGAGGTGTATGTGTCTCTCCACACAGCAAGAAGGTTTCAGGTTTGACTCCCGAGCTGCCTAAACCTTTATGTGCAGATTTTGCATGTTTCTCCTTGTGTCTGGGTTTTATTCAGCAAAGGTGGTCCTGACCAAGACTCTGTAGATGGTCCCCACGCCCCTGCTGGGACAATAAAGTATACCTTAACATTATAGATGCGTTTAATTTCATACTATGGAACATTCTAAGCAAAGTGGAGATAAGTAAATGGTGAAATGAAGGAAAATACATTTAGTTATTACAGAGCTATGGAAATCAGATGGATTTAAATTGATTGTAAAACTGCGTCCATTTATCTATGTAACTTTTGAATCATTTCCCATTTTTTTCTCTCACACTCTCTCCCTCTCTTTCTCGCTCCCTCTCCATTTCCCTCTCTCTGTAAGACTTGTCCGCACTTGTATAAATGTGCTGAGATTGGTCATGGAGCCAGGAGACATCCCAAACATGAGGGGCATGCAGTGACCACCCAACCAGACCACCAGCTCTGCCCCTGTGCCCATGGCTCCTACTCACACCATCGAGCTCACGCTGCTATGGAACACATGGATCTGTACTCACACCACACCAGTGCAGCCTGACTGTCTGTCTGCGTGTGTGTGTCTGTGAATGTAGACTAATATTATCTCAATCAGCAGCAGGTCAGCTCAGACAGGGTGGTGAGCTACATGGATGGACACATAAATCGGAGTTGCAGTGGACTAAAGCAGTATTTCACAACCTTTATTGTACTGTGAGCCTCTATCTTTAGTCTTGTAAGTTGACGAAGTAATTCAATTTCAAAAAGATTGTGCAGAAATGTGCAAAATAAGCTTAAAAATAGAATATGGCACAGCCTGTCTGTCTACTGAAGCCATAGAGACATTGCTTGTATCTCACTTAGCAACAGGGTTAATTCAGGCAGGGCATCAGGATACATGCAGCTAATTTTGTTCAGCTTGTATTGTCTAGATTCACTGAGTACTGATTTCTGAAGCTCTTAAAGGTACACTGTGAAACTTTTCTGGTTGCACGGAATGTGATTAAATGTTCCATGGTATTAGCCTGATTCATCAACCGGTTTCACTTCTTGGAAACCATCTGACCTCACAGCGTTTTGTTCGCTCAACGGTAGGCGGGTACATTTTTTTTTTCATTTAACCAATCGCTGCTGTTTAGTCGTGACATAGGTATGTAACGGGGCTAACTGGTATATTAAGCTTTTCCAAAATACCATAGGAAGAAGAGCAATAATGTCTTTCCTCTTGATAAAATTCACCAAACATTCTCTTTATTCCAGCTTTAAATCCTCGATTTCGGGAATCGTTGACAACACATAGCATATGGCTTTTCACTGATTGGCTGGTGTCTATACTCCCACTTCCGGGGTTTTTGCGAGCCGTTTAGTGTATTCTGATTCCTGACCTAGTCACTGTAACGAAATAAAAGTGAGCGGAGGCACTAAGTGGCGCCAGACTGGATACTATCGTATGGCATTTCACCACAAAAGTTGCACTGTGCTACTTTAAACCAAACTTAAATGCAAGTTTTGTTTTAACCTGAAAAGTACGAATTAGGAAGTATTACTTAAGCCAACGGAAGTATTTACATTTGTCATAGTTGCAACTTTCAACCACAAGGAATGTCTATAATTGTCTGTCTGGCATTGCACTTTCTATACCACTTGTAACGTCTTTATTTTCACGATGATGTAACTCTATCTAAAGCAGTAACACTGTCGCTCCTCTCAAACCGCATAGTGCTATGAAGAGGTGCGTGTGTCTGTGGAGCTTCTCTTATTAAACCTGGTCTGGCTGGTGCACTGTTTACAGTGAAAGTGAAGTGGACAGTGGCTTAACGCAGAGCCTCATAATGTTAGCTATGCACAGGACATGTGTTTGTGGACTTGTGTTATACCAGGCTCTAATGACAGCAGCTCAGAGGATCACTGCAGCTGTGAGAAGAGGCGCTGTAAAAATACTATCTGCATGAATTTAAAACACCAGAATATTACGTGGGTTTTGGGTCCAACTAATGTAAGAGGGATATACTGTAAAAAGTATAAACTAGTTTATTTGTTCAGAGTGTTGTATTTTTTGTTTAAGGTACACTATGTACTTGTTCTGATTTGGGTCCCTGCTTATGCTTTACACGGCTTATCTTCATGGAAACTAAAAGACCCTCCACTAAAACTTACATATAGTGCACCTTTCAGTACTTCAATTCGAAGACCAAACATTGTTAATAACACATCAGAAAGACCTGCCTGTTTGTTGTTTGTGATTGTGGCCTACCTGTCACAATTACAAACAATTTCAAATTCAATAAATCAAGTTATCACTACTCCACTCAAGATTAATGTTGTGACTCTCAGCTTCTCATTTTGCAGTGCAGAGGGCTCGTGTTAGCAGAGCTGCGGCCCTAAAGTGGCTCTGTTACTGTGCATCCTGCTGCTGTGAGCTCTGAGCTCAGGTCTTATTCTGGTCCAAATCAAGTGTCAGCCGCATTTCTACACCCTGGTGTCACTGCTCACTTATAGTCTTAGGCTGCATTAACACAGCCTGGATGTAGACTTGATTTGGCGCTGTTTTAGTCCTCGTTTAGTCTCGGTATAGCTTTGCTATCTTAGCTCAGTCCCAATTTTGATGGTGTGTGCAAGTTGAGACTGCATCCCAACACAAACATTAACATACCAAGCATCCATAAAGGGGGGCACAGTGTGTGGCAGCACTCATGCTGCACAGCTAGAAGGTTATGGGTTCAATTCCTGAATTCCTGGACCTTTCTGTGCTGAGATTGAATGTTTCTCCCTGTGTCTGGATGTGTTTCCTCTGGGCACTCCAGTTTCTCCCATCAACCCAAAACATGCACCAGGTGAAATCCCTGGAAAATGCCTTGGAAATGCCCAGTGGTATTGAAGGATGGGTCAAATGCAGAGGGCAGATTTCCCTAGTGTACCTACTGATTTCTTAGTATACCTTAACCTAAAATCTAGTCTAGTCCAATGTTCTGGGGTGGCAGTTGCTCTGACTATTCCTTAGAGTTCTTAAGAACTTTCTTAAGAGGCTTTTTGTGCAGATTGGCAGCCACCTCTCAGTCTGCCCCAGGACAGCTGTGACTACAGTAGGAGCTTACCACCACTGAATGAATCATGCATTATGAAGCATTTTCGAATGTCTTGTTTCTATGCTGTGGGTATTGCTTATGTAATAGTGTTTTGTATGAAGAGGGTACATAAATATTTACAATGGCAGATCTTTATGAGGTCAAAAGGTTCCCCTCCCTTTAGGCTTGTTTGGAGAAAGAGCCTGACACTGACTGGTACTGGACTTGTTTCACTCACAATATAGCAAGACCATAACTCTTGATTATCTGATTGTCATATAAAAACAGCATTTATTTTTGGATAGTTTTAAAATTACAAATAGTAAAATAAAGATAGACCGATGTGTTTTTTTTTTCCTTCATTGCTAATTGTTTAGAATCCTGACAAACGAATAAACTTTGATCATTTTTCCCATATTATGTAATTTAATTTCACTACAAACTCATCCATAGTGGCAACCTTTCACGTTTTTCCCTTTTTTTTTCCTTTTTTAAATCCACTTTTGTCCAACATTGTGATTTTAAACTGCTCAAAAAAAAAAAAAAGAAACAATGTTATTTGATATTGTAAAATAGTCTTTTCACTAACGCTATGTCCCTTTGTGTTCACAGGAGAGGCCCCCAGGATCCGTCGGACTACCCCATCCAGCAGCAGCAGCCCTGGCCTGGACACTACCAGGGACCCCCCCAGAACCACCAGGCCTACTCCCAAAGCCCGGCCTATCCCAACCACAATGTTAACCCCCAGAGTCCGGTCTATTCCAACCACAGCGCAAACCCAGCAGGCCCGTACTCCTACACGGGGGGACCGGCCTACACCAGAGACCCGAGAACTGTGGAGCCCGGATACTACCCACACCCCAGGTAAAACATAAACAAATACTTACACATTTAGTCACGTTACTTCACAGCATAAAGCTCATCTTAAAGTGGAATTAAACACAATCCACAATCCACTTTTGTTGTTTCTAAGTACATTTGCAGCTTTCTGGTCCGAAAACATCTAAATCTATGTCCAGTGGCATCTTAAATTTCCAGTAGTTGGTGACATCACACAAGACTGCCCTGATTACAGATCTTTCCAATTAGAAAAGCAGGGGCAGAGTTTGAAGTGTGGATACCTGTTTGTCCAGTCACACTGTTCCTCGTACCCCCAGACCCCGTGTGGTTGTGGGCGGAGTTTAGGTGTTTCATCCAACCCACCAATCGTACAGTGTTTACACAAAATGTACACTAGTCACAACATCTTGAATCTAGATTATGAATAGATTTTTAAGTTTGCAAATTTTCTGTATTGTCAGCATCTCTTTCTGGTGTTTAGCTCACAGCAGAGGGGTCCCCTTCGACAGGATGTCCCGCCGTCTCCCACCCCTCCAATGAGAGGCCTGCGCTATGACACCATGACCAGAGGAGCAGTGGGAGGAGGCTATAGGTAGAATATGTCAGGTAAAAAACATTATAAACTCATCTGTCCTAGAACTGTTTATGAGCTTCACAATGTTAAGGAATTAGGAATGTTGCCAGAACAATTTGCAATTTAAAACAAATATCTTATTTTTTGAATGGGAAAAAGTCCTCAAAAATGTTGGCTGGGACACGAGTCATTATTATTTTACCAGATTCTCCCATATTGAAACAATGCAAAAAAAAAAAAAAAAGTATCATTTATTTATTTATTTATTTATTTGAGAGAGGGACAGCGCACAATTTTCGCATTAACCTTGACAGGAGAGATGCATTGTACATCAGGTTGTCCACCTGTAGTCCCTGAACAGGTTCATTGATTGATTGTATTTAACTGACCTTGACTATCAACTGTTCTGGAGACCTGTAGCATGTTTTGGGTTGATTTGATTTAATATTTTTTATTGAAGACATTATGAAAACAAGAAGACAATATGTACAGTTTTGTTTCTGACCATTTAATCAAAAAAATGTTACCGTAATTTGTGGACTATAAGATGCTACTTTTTTCTCACACTTTGAACACTGCGGGTTATACAAAGATGCAGCTAATATATGGATGGATTATTTGTTTGGCACATTGTCCATTCGTATAAACGGTATATGGTTTGGCAACACAGCGCATACGCATGCAGCCTGAGTGCACAAAACGCTGTTGTCTGTTTTGTTAACATGAAGTTGCAACACTAGCTAGTGATGTTGTCAGCTCACTAAAACAGTTTATTGCCGTGTGATAAAATAAGTTGTGATGCTAAATTAACATTAGTGAGTGGGATACATATGCGTTAAATGCAGGTGGGTGTGTAAATGACAAGAAAAAATGTCTCAAATGTCAGTAGCCAGATATCCACACATACCTGATCGATACACTTAGCCCCGCCCCTGGGAGAGCCTGGAATCTGCTGAAATCCTACAAGACACTGACATGATACCAGACCATAGACTACAGTCTATGTACCAGACAGGACAGCAGCTCTTTCTGCAGGAGACCTGCTTAGTACAGTGTGGGGAGATGCGGAGGTGATGTCCCGAGGAAGATTCTAGTTTGATTGTGTTTTGAACAGTTATTTTGTGGTTCATGCACACACCCTCCTCATGTAAAACACACAAAGAAATGCAGATGATGCAGCTTTTAAGTTAAAGGCAACTGATCTGGCTGTCGAAGAAGGAAACAGAGCTGCTGCACATGAGCTTGGCATCAATGAGTTGATGGTGAAACTTTGGCGACGACAGCGTGACAAACTCACTCAGTGTAAAAAGACGACAAACGCTTTCAAAGACATTTAAAGCAGATGTCCCGAACTTGAAAACGTTCTTTAAGACATGGACACCTGCGGCTTATAGACAGGTGTGGCCTATATATGTTTACATTTTCTTTTCATTAAAAATTTTGGTGTTGCGTCTTATATTCAATTGCGCTCACGTAGTCCGGAAATTACGGTATATTTAAGTAGTTCAGTACATTTCATTTATTTCATATTTTGTTATTCCTTTACTTTTGTTTCAGACATCTGCCACTCCCTGGTTGAAATCACTAAAGCTGTACAGGGGACAGACGAAGACTTCACCAAACCCACTGAATGCAGCTGTGTGCATCTCTTCTATATTTTTCTAAAGGGCCTCAACAGCAAGCAGTGTTTCTATTGGTACAATGAACAGCCAATGAACAAAGTCAGTGCTGTCTTATAATGCACTCTCACACTATATACTACTATATGGTACAAAATAACTCATCAAACATTGAAAATGACAAAATAACTTCTACCTACCCCGCTGCCTTGGTATTACAATGAAAATACATGAAAATCCTTAACAATTTTGTCTAGAATGACCAAAGCGTATTTTGAGTGCACGATTCAGCTGCCTATATTACCTTTTCTATTCTTTTAGTTTTTAATAATGCCAAGCCTGCCTTTTTTAAATGTAAAATAAATCTTTTACCACCTCTGAAACAGCAGTAGCCATACATCACCCGCACTTTTAATAAATGGCTATAGTTCTGCGTATTCTAGTTTCCCCAGACCATTGGCTTTAAAGAGCTCCATGAAAAATCGATTCACTTATTTTGATAATGAAGATGCAGTAATGGCATTGAGAAAGATTGTTCTGTTCAATTTGTACATGAATGTAAACACTTGATCTTGCAAATCAGCACAGAGATATATTTTTTCTTTTGTAAAAATCAGCCTTTTTTAATCCCCTAAATGGCACCAGTGCACACTTGGTACTGAAATAACTGTATAGATTCCATTTGCCTTTGTCTCTTTGTGCTGCATTAACTGATATGAACAGTGTTACATTACTCTACTTCTTTATATTAATACACATGCCTTGGACTTATGTAGTGATTTACAGTCTTAAACTTCTCAAAATGCTACAGTAGACCATTTTATTAAAAGCACACTATGTAACTTTTCAGATGAAGGTCCAGCGCCTTCTTATCGCCATGGAGATGTTATAGTTTTGTCAGAATGTTCAACAATATGGCATTAAATGTGTTGATTGCCATGGAGACAAGCAGTTCATTTCACCCAGAGACTGTATAAAGAAGTGACGTCACCCATAGTGTTCGGTTCCAGTCAAATGAAGCTCACCAGGCTAGCAGTTATAGGAGCCAAGCTGAGTTCCATATTTAGAAATGGAATTTATTTACGGATGAAATAGCGAAAAAGAAACGCCAGGATCATGTAGAGCAGGTTAATGCGAACATTTTAAGACCAAAATAATGAGGCTCACTGCAGCAGTTACAGAGAGAGAAGTGACAATTTTTCAGTGTAAAGTCAATTGGAGCCAGAGTTGATGGAGCCAGAAGCACCCCATGCTCACTTCATATTTGGAACACGACAGCTAGCGGGTTTGCTATGTCCATTTATTTATACAGTCTGTGATTTCGCCAGGATAAGGTACACGTCAGATTTAACCTCTCAGACAAAATTGATAGATGGAAAGGTAGGTTTAATACCAAAATTCTGACAATAACATCTCTATAGAAAAAAAAAAAAAGGTTTCATAGTGTGCCTTTAAGTAACCACAACTACCCTGGGGCTGGCCACCATCTGTGTGTCCGTGGCATCATTGGCACCAGCATTACTCCCTCAGACATTACACATTAACAAATAATTAGTGGTTATTAGATTGTTGCTCCGTGTATGGAAGTTTGACATTTGAGTGTAAAGTGAATTGTCTAGTGTCCGATCATTTCAAGGAACAGAATGTGAAGAATGAAGGATGAGTGAAAGAAGTGAAGACGTTGCGTGAACTTTTAGACGCAAGGAACTAAGAAAGAAGGATTTATGAAGTGACGATGGTTAATTAATGCTAAAGAAGTTCCCAAGAGTTCTAAAGTTTTATTTCTAATTGATTTCAATTAGTTTTTTTTAAAACATCATTTGAAGCTTTGTCGCAAACCTGTAATTGAAGTGAATTGAATTACTACACAAGATTGTCTAAAATTGTGGATTTGATGGATGAGTTACTAGAATTTGATTTAAACCAAAGCTACATCATTTTCAGATGTTGACTTCGTATGAATGGTTTGGTTTATTTTTCAAGTTAGTATTTGTAGTTCAGTGGATAACCATTTTGCACCAATAATTTTGTCTAAGGCTTCTATAACTTGCTGACAGTGGTCATATTATTAAGAGAAATGTCTTTTAAACCCAAGAATCCTGGAACTTTATGAATCTACAGATTAGTGGATGCACTGATCCAGCATTTGCTGTTCCAATACAGATGTCAAGAATTTAAGTATCTGCCAACACCTGGTATCAACCAGTACTTTGGCAGAGACTGAAGATATCATTTATTTCCTTGAAACACAAAAAGTTAAAATATGATCCACATGTGTTTTGTAAATACAGAACAGCTTTTTAAAAATATAAGTTTAATATTATGAAACATTTTGGACCAACACTGGCCAGTAAATCATGTTATTATACTAAAATGGAATATTGGCCTGAATCGATACCTTGGAAGCCGATATCTGATCCACCAACATTTTTACATCAGTGCATCCCTAATACAGAGAGCTGGTTAGATGGATGGACATTGAGAGAAAGTCAGGAAACAAGTTTCTAAATGTGTATCTATGGATAGAAAGTTGGTTTGACAAAGGCGGGATTTCTATATGACTTGATTTGAATATTGGAAGGATACACATTGAACGAAAGTACGAGTGATACAGTTATAAAGTTTGTTGGACTTGAACATAGACAGTGAATGTATTATGATTGAGTTGTTGGATGATGGTTAAAGACAGGAGCATGTGAGCAGAGAACAGTTGGTGCGTTCGTCTGTGGGAGGAGGTCAGCGTGTGGGATTTTAAACAGGACTTCACTGTCATAAATATTTATCCTGCTCGTAATCCAAAACATGTCAAATTCAACGTGCTGTCAAACCCAAAATATCATATTTATATCAGCAGTCAGCACACTTTCAATGATCTTAGCGAGCTCTATTGATTCTTTGCAGTGACATCACGCTGGGGATGTACTGTATGTCTATGGCGGGATGTTCAACGGTTCCCGTGGAAACAGTGCACACAATACCAAAAAGTTTTAAGATCCCTTTTTAAAACTCAAGAAAAAATACAAAATGCAGACAAACATATATCAAACTTTCCACTAGAAAAGTTTTAAAATAATGTGAACAACAGAGCTAGTTCTTTTTAAAACTATTTGCAGTGGTCCAACATTATTTCTCACTTACCTTATGTATTCCAAGCATCCTAATTATTCACCATGATGAGTTTATAAGCACTTTTCGCAACTTTCAGAGATCAGGATTGCTGGTCATTTGTCAACAACAACTAGTATGCTAACCACGCACTAACCTTACTACCTGGTTTGCTTTTACAGTATATCTGTACTGGGCAGGACACATAACTTTTTCAGCCTCTTTAAGGAACTTTTGCAGTCTTCAACAACGTTTTGCATTTTGTATGACATGACTTTATGAACTTTTTTCTAAACATTTTCACAAAGAGAGGAAACAAATTGCTGGTCCCACATTTGTGCCTTTATAGATAGAACTTGCAGTATTGATGCTGGTTTATTGTTCAGTGGTTTGCCTAAAATTTTACAAGATATTTTTCATTTTTTATACCTTTTTGAATGCCTGCACTGCACGTTTTTCCACATGAAGAAGTATTGGGTTGATTGTAATTTTTATAGTTTTTACAGACTGCCTATCTACTGTATTTGTCTCTTGTCACGACATAATAACAACTATTTTTCCTTTACATTTCAAAACAAAAGTTAATAATTATACATTTAACTTTTACATTAGCAGTAGCGCAAAATAGTCCAATACTTTCTAGAAGCTGCTACACTTTTGCAGAGTACATAAAACATTCCATAAACTTGTAGTATTTATAATTGAGAACAGGGACGGACAAATGACTCACATTGATATGCAAATTTAGTAGTGTAATTGGATAATTATCGCAGTATAATGGAACTTGTCACAAATATAAATGATCCAGATCAAGATTTGTAGATTTTCTTTTTGCGTATTTCTTATGAACATACCATAGAAATATAATTAAAGGACACAAAAGTCAAAAGTCTGTATTTTTTTCTATTTGTTTACTACTATCAACATTTTACAGATACAGAAGACATCAAATATATGAAGCAAGATATCTGGAATTATTTTGCAAAGAAATAGATTTAGTTATTTACCTTTTCTTTCTACATTTCCCACATGTCTTACTTCATAAATTTGATGTCTTCTGTATGTTTATCAAATACAGAAAGTAGTAAACAATGAATATAAGTCCAAACTTTTGACTGGTAGTGTATTTTGCTTAATTCATGCTTATTTTATTAACAACGTTGTCTTCTTTGAGCCTGAGAAATCACTCAACTTAAATTTTCCCAAATAGTTGCATCATATGTAGAAATCCAACCTTCTCCTGCACAATTTCTAAGTCCATAACCCATCACCAGACACGTTCTTTACGTTTTTACATTCAAACTCTGCTCATAAAGTGTGTTTTGTTAAAGTACCCACTGTTTGAAATTGAAATACTCATTCCATGTGACCAAAAATGTGTTTAATAGCCAATGAAAACCACTAGAAAGCATAAATCTGCATTTTTCTCCATGTGAAAATGAATATCTTCAAAATGTAAAATCTGAAAACTACTACTTCTTTTTATATCATTTTATAATTTCATATTGAGTTATTTTTTTTTCATTTTGTTTGATTGCACTTCCTCAAATCACAAATGAAGATAAGACTGAATGTATCCGAATGCTGTGTCTCTGCACCAAACATTATATGATAGGAAGATGTATTACTTTTACTATCAATCATACATTTCACATTGTATATTGTTTTTTTATCATTTAATTTCTTCTTTTAATGAATTTTGGTTGCTAGCCCAATACTAGTATGTTTAACTGCATATATTCTAAGCAACAATTTGTATTTTTGTATCGTAAAAAATTATGAAAAACTAAAAAAGCAATACAAAATAACGGTACTAATAGTGAATCTGTGGTACGCAGGGGCTCTTCTCAGTCATTTTATATGAAGGAGTAAACATGTTCCTAAAAACATAGTCGTCTTTTAACCACTTGTATCAAAAATCCTCAAATCAAATGTTTATTATTGTAAAACTAACAGTGATTTCTACTCATTTTCCTACAATTTATATTTATGTATATACCATTTTTGCAATAAAATGTATTAATTCTTAACCTGGTTGTCAAGTTGTGTTATTGTGTGGTTGGAGTAAACATG